GCCCGGGGTGTCCTCCTCATAAAATGTTCACCCAGGCCCTCTTCCCATTTCTTAAGCAGCTTCTTTTCATTTTTTGGTCTCACATTCCTCCCCTGTTGAATGACAAGAATGGAGATTTTCCAGGGCCTTTCCTCATCCTAAAAATACTATAAATATTATCAAATAATTATGAAGAGGTTATTCTGTGCAGGGTTTAAAGCTGAGCTTTGTGGGAGATTAAACTTTGATCAACAGGCATTTAGGACATTACAGTTAGCACCACCAGCAATTCTCATGGCATTACTTGGCACAGTCCCCCATCCCTTAGCAGCCTGAGCATCACCTGGCGACTTGTTAAAGTGTATATGATTGCCCCCCTGCCAGAACTGCTGCATACAAAAGCTCTGGAGAAGGGACCTCAGCAATCTATGATTTAACAAGGGCTCCAGGTGATTCTGAGGAACGCTAAATGCTGAGAACCACTGGTTCAGAATACAGTAATTCTTCATACATTGTCTCACAACAAACTAGTAACATGCTTTATCTCTGAGATCATGTTTCTTTGGTGCTGAGCACTTTTTTATCTCATTTAAGTTTCAACACCTGTGAGGTCTGGGAGCTTGCTCATTCAGCTTCAGCCGCACTGGCATCCCTTCACTGAAGAGTCCAGCTGCTTCTGTTCTGTGGGGCATCTTTATCTGGTCATGCCTACTTATCTTTTAGGGCTGAGGCTAAGTATGCTCTCTCCAAGGAGGCCTTCCCTGATGCTTCTAGGCTCGGTTAGCTCCCACTAGGAAAATTTATTATAATAGATTGGTTATATGTGGAATTTTCTGATTAATATTAGTGTCCACTATTAACTCGTAAGTTACATGAATCAGGGCCCCTGTCTGTCTTAATCTCCAGTGTATTCCCAGTACCTAGCACAGTGCTGATCACATACAAAGTACTCAAGAAATATTTGCTGAAGGAATGAATGTGAGCGTATGAATCAAGGAATCCCTTTTCACTAAGGAGGAAACTGAGGCACAAATAAATTAAGTAACTTTCTGGAGATCACCCCACTTAAAAGCACTCAGCCAGGACACCAAACTACAGGCTTTTACCCACTATGCTCATTGCCTATCCAGTTTTGTTAAAGAAAATAAAGTTCTGAGAACTAAAATGACTTACCTAAAGTCATATAGCTTGTAAGTAATAGAATCAGGATTAAAATCCATATTTTCTAACATTTATATGCTTCTATGCCTTGTCCAGCCTCCAGGAGCTTTCAGCCAATGGATGGAGACGAAGTATATATAGGAGAAATTAAATTCATGGTAAAGGAAATTCAATGGGAAGTATCTATAGGGCCTGGCATCATGCCCGGTACATTGTAGATCTTCAGTAAATGTTCACTAAGCAATTAATGATTATAGCTCTTCCCTCTGGAGAATTGACACCATGCCTACAACACTGAACATGTATGCACATACAAAGTGAGGCCTGGACCACCCAGGGATCCTGTCAAATGCAGATGTGTGAGACCTTGACCCAAATGATTGGAATCTGTGGATGTGGGTTTTCTTGAAAATCTGCATTTTCACCTGTCTCCTTTGGTGATGCCCATGATCCCTAAAGTCTGAGAAACACTTCATTACAATAACCAACCAGACAGATATTGGTAACCCACCATGCACAGAGAAAATGCTGCTGGAGATATAATGAACATTGCTCTAGGTCACACACTAACAAGCATCAGTGGCAGTAAGGAGTTGAAGATAATTGTGACTCCAAAAGCCTGAGTTCTTTTCACAGTGACTGTG